ATATAAAATTATTTACAATTTACATTAAAATTATTAATTAATAATACAAACAAATGCATTTTTTGTTACCGCACGTAGATTTCGCCTACGTTATTTTTAAAATCTGTTGTAATCTGATTAATGTGACTGTTTTTCTTCTTGAAGATTCTATGTCCTTCACAATCAATGCATTCTTGTTCACATTTACTCCGGCAACATTGTTTACACAGCTTGTATGCACATTTTGAACCCTAAAATTAAAAAAAAAACTACAATGCCAACTGTCAATGCATTATCAAAATCAAACAAGAGATAACTTAATAATCCTCTAATAATAAATTAAATGAATACTCAAGGTATAGATTATATACTTAGTAATAATTTCTTCCCTTGATTTGACCTTGTAGGTCGAAATTGTTAAGAACATTTATATAAGTCAGTATTTTAAAATTAAATGTAAAGTGGGTAAAAACAAACCAGAGGGTTTAGGCATGTGGTACATTTTTCTGAACTTCTAAACGATTGATAATTTTCGGGCTTTTCAGGCCTCCTGCTAATTCTGCGTAACTTTTTCATTTTCTTTCTAGATATCGGGTTTCCTTCGGCATCCTCATAGTGCCTTTTTTTAAGGTCCTCCTAAAGCAAAATTATTAAGAATTAGTAGTGCCATGTGAATAAATCGTACCATTAGTTTTTTCTTTGTTGTTATATTTTTGTTTTTTACTTTTTTAATTCAAAAATAATACAGAAATTTTCAAACTAAAACAACAATTAAAAAAAATATCTAAATAGTGATACCAAATTCATATAGATTAACTGTGTGCTTTTTTTAAAAAGGGATAAATACATTTGAGTTTTTGTTGTAGTTTAGTGTAATGGTTGTTACATGAAGAAATATAATCTTTACAAGAATTCCCTGAGCTTAAATGAAGAGCAAAAATACCTTTACAGTTTGTTTTCAAAATATTAACTGCTTTAATTAAAGCAATTACTGTAATTTTATTAGAAAGAAAAATTTTACGTTTGTTTACCAAAGTCTTTGCCTCTTTTTCACATTGCTTTAACTTATTTAAATGTTCTTGTGGAGAACTTCTGATATATGGTTGACAGATCCATGGAGGTAGTATTAAATTCATGCTATTTTCTTCTACAGTTTTTGTCCAAATTTGCCTTCCTTCATGAAAAGGTTTATATATTGCTATTATAATGTTTACTATTTTCCTAAAATCATTCATGGTATTGGCTGCTCCCAAATTGATCTGGAGATGTTTATTTTCTGGAATGGAAAGTCTAAAATTGATTAAATAAGTAACTGATTTGACTATTTTTATAACACTTACATGTGATGGAATAGTTTAAATAAATGTCCTCTTATATAGGAGAAGGGACAAGGATATTTATCTACCAATTCTAAATATTCTAAAGCAGGAATCCAAACTGGAAAGATAGCATACATAAAAATTGCAGGATTATGTAAATTTCCTTCGGCTGTCATGACTCCACATGCTTTAGTTTCATTTAAACATCTTGTTACATCCTGGATACATTGAATGTTACCATTAGAAATAACAGGAATATTAACTGCTTCTCTGAAAATATATCACAACTGAGAAAAAAAAAATATCTATGTTTAGAGTGTTTAGTAAGTTTGCATAAAAACTACAACTATTTAACTCTGATCATTTTCATTTCTATATGCCTGTTGCTCATGTATGATCAAAGTAGTCATTCTATTTAGAAAAATACCTTACTGCTTTTACATATGCCCAATCTGCTAGGCCTGTAAGTGGTCCCTTCTGCTCCCTTGTTCGACCATGAACAGTAAGCATTTTACAACCAGCAGACTCCAACATTTTAGCATATCTAACAGTTTTTTCTAAATCCTCAAAAACTCTAATTTTACAAGTAATTGGTACTTTTACATTTGAACTTAAGGTACTCACTGTAAATATAGTAAATTAGATTAAAATGATCATACTAAATTTACTTACCTATTTCATAAATTAAGTCCCAGTTGTCCTGTAAAAATGCTCCATAATTTCCACGTTTAGCAATAGCTTGTGGACATCCTAAATTAATGTCTATAGCTATACAGTGTTCTTCAGCTAGTAATGCAGCTTCAAGCATGACTTTTGGGTCGTTTCCACAAAACTACAAAATTCTGCTATCAGAACTGTATACTATGTATTAACAAGTTCTATACAATACTTGTACTATTAAGGGTTTGTCCTCATCATTACTCATCAGGTTTTCTTTTCGATATTTAGAATCTCGACAAAATATGGAACTATGAAGCATTGGGGTGTAACAAAGTTGCGCACCATATTTTCTACTTAAAAGTCTCCATGCTAATTCACTTGCATCCACCATAGGAGCAACAATTTTTGTTGGTGCTCCTAAGGTAATCCTCCAGAATTCCATTATAAAATGTTGAAATATAATTCCTTAAATTTATGTTGTGTACTCACTTAATGTTACATTACAGCCATATTACAAAGTAGGTTAAGTGAACTATGAAGCATAGATCATGATCATAGATTAAAACCATATTAAAACATAGACTATGAAGTGAACATCATAGACATATATTAATGGACGCGCCTTAGCCGTATGTCGTAATAATTTCTTGGCTCCAAAAGTGAGGGAGACGGCGTATGGTTTCGGACTAGTACTATCTCTTTCATGACACGCTTACGCACTATCGTGAGAGAGATGGACATTGTCCGAAACTTCGTTCCATCACTTTCTTTTGTTGTACCACAATTCTGACCGCTAAGGCATCCATTAGTAAACGTCGATGGTGAACATCACATATCTATGTTAGTAGAAGTATTTATAGAATTATANAAAAAAACCATTCCTTTAAAATCCCACCAAACAGACAGCATCACCTTTTTTTGGTGAATATCGGCTTTGGAAATGGTTTGAGCCGGTTCATCTTTTTTGCTCCATGACCTCTTGCGTTTGACGTTGTTGTATACAACCCATTTTTCGTCCCCAGTGATGATGCGCTTCAAAAACGGATTTACTTGTACTGAATTACGATTGAGGCATCTACATGCCGCATTTTATCGCTTGGCCTGTATTCAACTTTCTCATGGATTGCCATTCACCACCTAGCTATTCTTAACACCAGATGTCGTTTAAGTAGCATCGTCTTTATTGCAGAACAGTCAGTCAGTACCTTTTATATCCATAACCAATGTTCTAAAGAACCCTTTGCCTACCGATCGGTCCAGTTGATCTGCTCTTAGTGGGAGAGGATACCTATCCTTTACCGTGACAGCGTTTAATGTCCCATCACATGCACAATCTAATTAATAATAACGCCAATATCTAAAAGCCCTTGTACCTTATTCCTAAACTTACTCCTTTCGGGATGCGACAACCTGTATGGTCTATAATACAAAGCTGTCTCTTTTGTCGGCTTAATTTTCATTTCACCTAAATTAGTTAAACCTAAATTACCACTATTTGAGAAACAGTGCGCTTTTTGTGATAACAATCCTATCAATTTTGCCTTACCTGTATCATTTATATCACCTACATCAAGCTTTGTAAAATTAATAGTTTGAACACTGCTCACCCACAAGTCTAGTCTATTCCTCTAGTCTTGACTTTTTGTCCAATCGCCTCCTTGCACTTTGCTTCTCGAGCCACAATCCGCCCTTTCTCCCACTGTAATGGTTGTGGTCCTAGATTTGTCACCATAAGTTGAGTCTTCCTAAAACCTAATTACCCCTAATGTAGGGAGGAGAGGCAGAGATAGGTGAAATAGATGAATGGTGAATCGTTCAGGATCGGGAGAGTCAGTGATAATCGATGAGTCGTCTTCAGACATTTCATCGGGGAGAGGATCAACGCATTTGATGGGAGCGATATTGGTTGTATAAGGGACTTGAGATAGTCTTTTCGAGCAGTTGGAGTCAAAGGCAAGATGCCTGCCTTTACAGTTAGAGCAGGATGGAGAGGAAGTGCAGGAAGATGAAGGGCGCTTTCCAATGCAGAGGTTGCAGAGGGCTCTTTTTGAATACAGGAAGCGGTATTATGTCCAAAGGTAAAACATTTGCCGCATTGAAGGGGCTAAAGGCCTGGGGATTGAGATGGTTCATATCGGTAGGTTTTCGTAAACAGTTTGACACCTTTCGAAAGGAGCGTATCGGTGGCCTTAGGACAGTTTGTAATAACACGAAAGAGGAATGTGTTCTGCCCTGTTTGCTTGGACTTAATGCGCCAGCCATTGCGGAAAAGACGTCGGTTGGGGATGTTCACAGAGCTAACGACGCGGGAAAATGTCGGCTTAGTTGGTTACGAGATTAAGAAGATGGAGGGGAGTTAGAAGATATGTAGTTAGGTTGGATTTTTAGGTTTTCAGATAGTAGAGATTTTAGTGGCGAACGCTTTTTTATAATATCATTCAAGGTAACACGGGCTTTGTTATTTAGGTAGACGATTAAGGAAAGGAATAACAACGTCGGGATGCTTTTCAATAAGGCGTAAAAGTCTTTCTGATTTGAGTATTTGTCCGGTATGTTGGACAGGATAGCGTCAAAAATAGATGAAGAGGTTTGTGATTGACGGCAGGTAGAAGAAGAAGAGGAAGAACAGTAGGGTTGACTAAGTCAGCGATTCGCAACCTTGAAAGGATGATCTTCAAACGGCGAGCCTTGTTTTTTGGAAGTGATGGCATCAAAAAAAAGGAATGTGAAAAAGGTGTGTGAATTACAAATAGCGACACAAATAAGTGAAAGTGTGTGTGTGTGTTTTCGCGCAGAGTTTAAGCCTTGTGTGATGTGTGTTAGTGTTGAACACACATCAACAGATATCACGGTAATTGTTAATTGAAAGGAACATTGCGTACTCGGTCCCTATGAATGTTGGTTAATGGTAATTGATAATTAATTCTTCTTACCGATTTCTGCTGGGATGTAGTTTATCTAACAAGCTGAAAGACAAAATCTAGGATTACCGAACTTTAATAGTCGCTGGGTGTTGTCTGCTGACTGTTGTTGGTCTGTTGAAATTTGGTAGTTGGTAGCTGCTCTCTGCTGAATGCGTCTGTTCCGATCGAAGGTTCGATGAGGAATTTTTGTATTTATTTTTGTTTTGGAAGAGGTGAAATCTTCAAAAGACAGCCAGCTGTCCGTACGATGGCGGTGTCAGATTCCCGAGGAAAGAGTCCTTGAGCCTACCGACTAAAACCACTCTAACTTAGGCCGTTCTAGGATCGCTTAAGGTCCTCTTCAGTCGTGTGTATGTATATGTATGTATGTGAGTGTTGTGTGTGTGTGTGTGTGTGTGTGTGTGTGTGTGTGTGTGTGTGTGTGTGTGTGTGTGACAGGATTTAGAGCAATTGGAAATTACCCTAAAAAGGAACGTATCTTGGTCGGTTTGCCTGGACTTGATACTAAAGGCGTTTTTAGCGTTGATCTTTTGTTCTCTTAGGGCGGTAGAGGAAACGTTAAGGTCAACAGTTCTAACGACGCAAGGCAATGTTTGTTTATGGTTGTTGGGTTTGAATTTGGTAGAATATTTTGAGGTAATTCGGTTGGGAGGAATTTTCATTTTTTCAAACAAGAGGGCTTTAAGAAGAGAAGTTTTTTTGATGAGGTTAAAATCTTTAGGCGTAATAAGGGCCTTGTTACCGCGAACTACGGGTAGGGTTAGGAAAATTATCGAAGGTAGGCTTCTAATCGTGTTGTAAAGGCCTTTTTGATTGGAAACTTGTCGGATATTATTGCGTCGAATATTGGATGGCATGATTGAGGGGTTGCTGAGGACAAGGAAGAGGAGTGCCTGAGCCGACGATCTACAGTCTCGAAGGCTTAATTGTCGAGTGGCAAGACAGTCCTAGCTCTTTTGCCGGAATTATCGGAAGAATCTTAGAAAGGAGTGGATATTTAAGAGAGACCGAAAGTGAAAAGGAAGAACCATCTTTTGTCTATATTTTGGGATTTTTGTGAGGGTCTGCTAGGACATTGGAGTCGAAGGCAAAGTGTTTGCCTTTGTAGTTGGAGCAGGATAGGGAGGAAATGTAGGAAGGCGAGGAATGGGATGCGATCTTGTGGCCATTAACATAACTACTCGCAGGAAGTCAGTTGTGATATTGTTTAAAGTTGTTAAGTAATTAAATTGTTTTTATCGGTAAATCAACTTCTTGAATTTATTGAATCGACTCCAAAACGGTGAAATATTGCACCGTACTTTAATCATCATCATCATAATAAGGTCGTCAGTCCTAAGACTGGTTGGACACGTACCTCCACTCTTTCCATATCCTGAGTTAAAACTAGAACAACCCATATCCTTAACTATTTGCGAATAGTAACCTAATCTAGGTCTACCTCTACCCCTCCTAACTCCTGTTTTTGTGTCTAATATATCTCTGAATAGACTTTCACGCCTGAGAAGGTGTCCTACCAACCTATCTCGCCTATTTCTTATTGACTTCCATAAACTCCTCTGTTCTCCTATTCTTTCTAATACCTCTTTATTTATAACCTTTTCTATCCACGTTATCCTCCTCATTCGCCTATAACACATATTTCGAACGCTTCTAACCTTATCCGCCGCACTCACTGTCCTGACTTATCTGACTTCCTAGATAACTAAAACCAGCCACTTCTAATTTTTCGTCTTCTATCTTTATATTCACACTTTCCCTATTTTTTCTTCCCTTGCATACTAGTATTTTAGTTTTGCATTTATTTATTTTCATACAGTACTGTTTTGTCAGTACCGCTTCCATTTTATTTAAAGCTATCTCTACGTCCTCCTTGCTAGATGCTAATACTGCTATATCATCTGCAAATCTAATCTTTTGCCCCTGTACATCTATCCCTACAGTTGTACTCTATAACTGCCTGTTGTTCTTTATACAAATAAGTATCACTCTTCTACCTTTGTAACTCATCCCTACATTTTTAAGTATATTTAACATCTTGTCCCATTTAATATTGTCAAAAACTTTTTCTAAATCTACAAATCCTATGTACGCACTCTTTCCTTTTTCTATCGTTTTCTCTATTGTTACCCGTAAAGCTAGAATGACCTCCCGCGTTCCTCTATTTCTTCTAAACCCAAATTGATCTTCCCCTAATAGTTCTTCCGCCCTTTTTTCCATCCTCCTCTGTACAATTCTAGTTAAGATTTTTGACGCATGGGAAGTTAAGCTAATTGTTCGAAATTTCTCGCACCT